CTCCTCCTCCTCCTGCCCCTCATGCAAATGCGCGTTCTTCGTTTTCTCATCACCTGTAGACGATAACAGGTCCATTCATTTCAACAATCCCAACCCCATCCATTTCCACGGCATACTGCATTCCTCCTTCCACTGCACAGTTCTGTCACATTCCTCTCTCTCTTTCTGTCACATTCCTCTCTCTCTCTCTCTCTCTCTCTCTCTCTCTCTCTCTCTCTCTCTCTCTCTCTCTCTTTGTTTGTGTTTGTGCGTGTGGCTGTCTTTTCGACTCGCATAGTGTTTCACATATCTCTCCCTCTGGGCTGTCGCTTTGGTCTCTGGATTGTCTGCCAGGTCAGCATTACTAAGTTATCACTTGCGCTGCCTCGACTTGGCGCCACGTGGCGCGCACCGAAACAACTCCTCGACGTGGCGCCACGTGGGAAGTGTCTATTGAATTCGCTATTCCATTTTAAAACAGGACGCCGCGCGGCGGCACGCGGTTCGGGGCTGGTGTTTGATCTCTGCTGGATCTTCCCTTTACCCCCTCTGCGTTTACTTGTGTTCATTCTCAAAAGAGAGAGACAGAGAGAGAGAGAGAGAGAGAGAGAGAGAGAGAGAGAGAGAGAGAGAGAGAGAGAGAGAGAGTTATTTATGTCGGTCGGGATCTGAGACGGGCGGGTGTGTAATAAAGACTGGGAGCTACATGTGTACAGGCGTGAGCACGGCTGCGAATTCAAGCAGAGGGGAAGACGGTCGGGACAGTCTGTGATATATAGACAGGCGTGGCTCACGTGGGCGACGTTGCCACGTGTCCACATTGGAGGTGACCTATCTGGTGGTTTCTACTGCGGAAAGGAGCACACTGCGCAATTCTATTTTGTCCATTGGGATACGAATGATACTCTCCTAGGTGGTCGAGGTTGCCACGTGTCCCCCCCCCTTGAGTACGAATGATACTCTCCTGAGTGTGCCACGTGGGACGGTCACCGGCGGTTGCTGATTGGCTCTCTCTCTCTCTCTCCTCCTGGTCTCCCCTGGTGCGCAGTTGCTCTCTCCCATCTCCACAACCGGCGACCAATCAATCATCCGCAAGTGCGCTTGCGAGGAATGAGCATGCAGGTAACCGGCGTGTGTTGTGGTTAAGTGCCACGTGGCGGAGAGGAGGGGCGGCTGAGCGCGGGGGCGGCGGCGGCTGTGCGCAGCTGCGAGAGAAAGGAGCCACGTGGGGGTGCGTGCGCCATTCCCGTGACGGATGAATTAGTATTCGGGGTCGGGACCGGGACCTGCCTTCTCCCTGTAATTGGCACAGACAGACTGCCTGGAAGTCGGGGTCGAGACCGGGGTCGGGACCGGAACCTGCCTTCTCCCTCGACGCGTGGGGAGGCGGAGATTGAGAGGCAATCATGTGAATGCGCACTTGCGCAGCTGTCGGGGGTCGCGACTCGCGCGGTGTAGGGACACAGGCGTAGAAGAGAGCGCGGGGGAATCGCCTTTGCGTCGCTGGCGTGGTGTACGGAAAAGCTTGAAGCCCGCGGGGAGCGTGGCGGAAGGGAGGGCGGCGGAAAGTCAGCGCAAACGTCCGCGAGAGCGCGGGGAGAGCGGGGCGGCCGGTGTAGCACGACGACAATAAAGCGCATTGCCTCCTCCTGTGGTAGCTGCTGCTGCGTCAGGGAGAGCGTTGTGAATGACACGTGGCGGTACCTGTGTGGATAAGACAAGATTCACCTGGCAAGATTTGCGATACCGACCGGCGGAGCTGGCGTTGCCGCGAGCGCCCGCGGGTGTTTCGCAGGGCTGGGCCCGCGCCGGCGCGGCAAGGCTCGGCGGCGGGCCGCGGGCGGCGAGTGAATTGGGCGAGGAGAAGGAGAAGGAGGGGGAGGTAGAGGACGAGGAGAAGGAAGACGAACGGCAGCTGGATATACTGTTTTCTATATTGGGAGGAACTGCCGCACTGGAAGCACTGCCAAGTCAGAAACAGTCCTTAATGGTGGGCACCATGAGGAAAAAGTGGGAAAATCAGGTAAAGATAAAGTCTTTAATTGGATAAGAGGATAAGAGGATAAAAGTAGTAGAGGCTTAGGAGCAGGAAAGCCGAGAAGGGGGGTGCATTC